ATTATTATTATTATTATTATTATCATTATTATTATTATTGAAAACATTACTATACCACTAATTGCCTTCATAAATCCTATATCTTAAATTATATTAATACAAAACAAAAGAAGACATTTGTAAAGAACAAAAACAAGAAAAAAAAAAAAGAAAGATGAAATTGCAATAACCAAATAAAACACCTACATTAACATCACATAACTGTAATCAGTCATAAAAATATGACATGCATTTGTTTGATGATTATTTGAATAACCTAACAATAAATGATATGGAAAATAAAATCGAAAGCATGAGCAAAAAAAAAAGATAAAAATATGAAAGAAGGAAATTTCATATACACATAGTTTACTACCGTTCCACTTTATGCAAAAAAAAAAGCACAAAATAACTGTTAATGGTTTAAATTTTCAAAAGTACAAAAAATCTCAATTCCCTTTCCCCATTTTTATTCCGGCATCTAAAATGCCATAAACTTATCTAAACAACTCTTCAGTTCTTCAAACAATTTATCAGTTATATGAAGTAAAGCCAAAACAAAAAAAAAAAAAAGTAGAAAAACATGAAACAATAATACCAAGAATTTTTAATCTGGGATCTTAGACATTTTTTTTAATTTTAAAACCCATTTCTTTCAGTTTCAATTAAAAAGTGTAAAAGAAAATGAAACGAAAACAAAAATGCACACAAAAACGCATACAAATTTGCTATTGCTCACTTCAAAGGAAATTGTACGTAATTCTATCTCTGTGTCACCAGAAAAGATCTGGAAAATATAGAAGAAGAAAAAGAAGAAGAAGAAGAAGAAGAAAACAACTGTATTTCTGATAACACTTCTGATATCACGCAGTTTGTCAGAGGCTACATGTGTTGATGATGCTGTATATGAAGTCGTCATTATTCGATTAGAAACCGGCAACAATACAATATGCATCCAATGCTGAGAGACCCAGATATGTGAACCATAATATTACAAAAAGACCTGCCGTTGGAAGCTGAAATAGTAAAAAAGTAGCTGGCAGAAATCATAGTAAATGTAGTTTCAGAATTATAATAAGAAATTTTTTTTCTAGCTAGAAGTAGGTCTTCTAGTATAGCAGATGCGAAAAAGCCGAAAAATTTGATAAGATGAGACTTAGTTGATGTTGTCCAAAGCTCTTCGGAAACTTAGTGAAGAGACCAGTACACGCAAAATGTATATGACATAAATTTCCTTCCTACCTTAAACCTATACTTTACTAAATGCTGAGACAAGCAAATTAATTTCTTAACACCCTTTAAACTGTAAAATCTGCGTCATTTTTAGCAAAAAATTTCAATTTTTTTTGCGTCAGAGATATAAGAAGCTGTAACAACGCCGTAACTGCTTTAGAAAGGTTTATTATAGCTAAACTTTAGATCGATTTTCATTAAGCATCTTCTCAAACTAGTTAAAGCGGACAGAGGTTCTTTCAACGTTACATAAAGCTGAACAGCAAAATTACGATTTCGTAAGCAATGAACTGACGATACTAACTTAACCGCTTTCAGTAGTGGAATAAAAATGCATAATAAAATGAGAAAATTTTATCCGAAAAAATTTAGTTAACAGTCTCAAATATTTCAACAGTTTTTATAACAGGAAACATTCGAACGTATAATTCATTAAAAGTTTAAGGAATCTAAACAGACCTTGTATTTCATTGGTCCTCCTAACTCACCGCCGACAGCTGGATGCCGCCTTAACACTATAACGGAAATGCACACAAGCGCTTCGACACAAAAAATGGTAACAGAAAATGCAAGAGTTCCAGGATCCACATGAAACTCATCACCCTTGACAAATTTGTGATATGCCGCTGCGATAGTCCATGCAATTCCTAAGTAAAATATATCAATTAAATGCAACGCTTACTTTGCATTGGCAGTTGGTATAAACAGTGATCACAAACCTATGCCTAAGAATACATTGACTCCATTAGAACCGGTGACATTACCAATAGAGGAATCTGCGTATTTATCTTGAATTGCAGCAACTTTTGAAGCAAATGTATCTAAAAATTTTTAAAATTACATTTAGTCACTTTTCTTTGTTCCTATTACACAGGCAGTTTATAATACTGTCAAAAAGAAATGATCTAAGAAACCAAATAAATTTTACCAGGAACCGATGTTCCTAGAGCAACAAACGAGATGGCAGTAACAGCATCCTTCAAACCGACCCAGCAACCAAACTGTGAAGCCAGGTCACCGATCAAAGCAGTCAGAACACCAATCAAAGCGATGGATACAATGAAACAGGCCCATCCACCCCAGTAATCTAAACACCTGTATTTTTATCACCGAACTATTATCGCTAAAAAACTGAAAAATACTGTATCACTCAACATCTTTAACTGCCAATTTTCGTTTTCTTAAAAAAAATAAACCTTTTTTTTTTTTACATAATGACAGACCTGTCGGTGGAATTAATGCAAAAATTAATTTCCACGGTACAGCCAAGAAGTGCATGAAGTAATCGCAACATCCTGGCTTTGTTGGTGGACGACTGCCGTTTGATTTGGAGCCACCTTCTTCATCACCTTCTTCGTCTTCCTCCTCTTGATCATCGTCACCTATCGAACAGATCAACTAAATCGGTCTTAAGCAACATTTACAATCTAACAAACAATTCAGATTCAACAGAATCTAAAGATTAGATTGAAATTTGTTTAATACCGGCGCTAACTGTCAATGCTTCAACGAACTGCTCACGCCATGTCGATGTGCCAAGCATAAATGACGCATTTGCATTTTTTAACATTCGATCAATTACACTCTAAAGCAAACGTTAAATTTTATCAAAAAATTATTCAAAAACCATATTTTTGCTGTATGAAACTATATAAAAAAGATAACAGTTGCTAGATTTAAATATTTAGATAACAAAAAATAATAATGCATATTATATATTCACCTGAAATTCTTTACTTTCTTTGACGGTAATTTGACATCGTTTAACTTCACCGAGTCGTGGTTTACCCATTTCAGCAATTTGTAACTGTTGTTCTGTTAAACCTGCTCCAAACAAATTTTCATCGCCTAAACTACAGTTCGGTGATTATCTGTTTT